GGGGGGAGGGGACACGAGAGGGTTGGCGAGGGGGTCGCGGCGGCCGGGGATGATGGGACCGGTCGGGATGCAAAACAGAGGAGTGTGTGTGTGTGTGTGTGTTGCGTGTAAGAGGACGGGAGACGGCCGTGGCTGCTGGGAATGAGAGTGGCGGCAAGGCTGAGGGAGAGGCATCCCCCTCCTCCCCCCCGTTGGGGATGATGGGCTTTGCAGTCCCTCCTGGCACTACCAACACCCTCCCTCCCCATCATCCACCCCTCGCCCGCACGCACGCCGGCCCGCCCCCCGCCAGGCCCCCGCGGACCCACCTGCCAGCCCTCCCCGGCGCCACCATCGACCCCTCCGCCCCGCGGCGGCCGATGGGCTTCGGGGCACCTTCGCGGTTTGTTTGGCGGCTCCCGCGGAAGCAGCCAAGATGGCAGGGGAGCGCGCCCAGTACGCCTGCGCGGCGGCGCCCGTGGCATGCTGGGGGATGTAGTCCCGCCTCCGTGGCCTTCTCGGTTGGGAGGGAGGAATGAGGAGAAGGAGGAGGAGCCTCGTCCCCAAAAGCAGGGCAGGGCGGGGCGGGGGTGGGAGGGAAGGCGTATAGAGACGCGATCGCATGGAAAACGCCGTGCACTTCCGGTTCCCTGTCGCAGCTCCGGCTTGCGGGGCGGGAAGGAAGGAAATGGGGGCCCACCGAACGAAAATGCACACTAAAGCCAGGAGGCTTTAGATGTCAAAATTAACTGAAAGGGAGCCAGCGAATCCTCATCCGCGCTGAGTGGTTTTAGCCGCTGAGCATCCAAACGTGAAAAATAAAGGGGGTTCTGCAAAAAAAAAAAAAAAAAACCCATGGATTATGTGGGCTTTCTCTGATCCAATGATTTTTGTGATTCTATGAATAATATGCACCAACCCAGTTAGATCTTCAAGCCACTCTAAAAGCAACCCGGTTTGGCCTCCTTATTTCCCCCACCCACCCATCAGCTGCAGGTTAGAAAACTCCGCCATCGGAAATCAAGGGCGAGAACCTGCAAGACTTTACCCCTTTGGGGATCAGATCGGGAGAAAAACGCGAGGTACTGCTAGCGAAGTGGGACACGGGGCTTCTCTTCGCGTTTGGAATTCTGGGTCCAGGGGTTTAAAGAGGCGCTTTAAGACAAAAGAAGCCAGGAGGAAATTGGATGGAATTCCAACTCCTGGGAAGATCCGTTTGTTTTTAATGGCATAAATAAACCTGATGGAGTTAAACTAGTTTCCTAGGAAGCACTTTTTGCTTTTTTTTATTTTTGCAAAACCCAGGTTTTTAAAAAAAAAAAAAAAAATAATCAGCCAAATCAAAAATGAGTGAACCGCGTGTGTGTAAACTCAGCCCTTTGTTCTTTGCAATGCAAGCTATTTGCTTAATTTAAAGGGGAAAAACAACATTTCCCACCCCCCTGAAATATTTCGTTGGAAAGTGAATGGCAATTGCCAGAAGAAAGAGATGATGAACTATAATATTTTTTCTTATTTTTCCGGCCGCTGTTTTAAACGAGGAGGAGGAGAGGAAGGAAGAAGCTCTGCTGCAAAAATTCCCAGCAGAAAACAGAAGATTTGAGTGAATATAAAGGATTTCTTTGTTCAATCGGAAGAGTTAACACGTGTAGAAGCCAAATTAGAATTGTGGGCTTTGCAAGGGGGTGGGGGTGGGAAATGCAGGTCTTTCCTGCCATCTAGTGGCCCTGTGGCGCATTGCAGCGCAGAGCCAACAGCCCTAAATAAATCGAGATTTCTAACTATGTGCTGAGCAAGGAATTTTTCAAACTTGGTCATTTAACATGTCCCAAAGGGTGCTTTTTTTCCCACAAGAGGCAACAACTGGACATGCTTTGTTATCCCTTGAAGACGTTTTGCTTCTCATCCAAGAAGCTTCCTCAGTTCTGACTAAATGGTGCGGAAGGGAAGGATTTATACTGAAAGGACTATAACACGGTCCTTTCTGCAGTCCCAAGAAGGCTCCACACCCATTTGCACTACTCAAATGACCCTGAGGATGCAAACAAACCTCCAAGAGGCCTCAACGATCCCCAGAAAGAGTAGCTGCAGACCATGAAGGGGATCAGGGCCCCTTCCTCCCCCGTAGACCACGCCACTCACGTTGCTCCCTTATCCACTCCTCCCTGCGTGCCCTAGGATGATGGGCCTGGGTCTTCCTCTAAATGCCAATCCGCCCTGTGCCCTTCCCCAGTTTCCTCCACAACTACCGGAGCCACACTCCCACTCCCTGTCAGCTGTTTCATCTCTCCCTCTGAGTCAGACTCCAATCAGGGGCATGACACTGCATGTCAGAAGGTCGCAAAAGGGGATCGCGCAACCCCAGGACATTGCAACCGTTATAAATATGAGTCAGTTGCCAAGCGTCTGAATTTTAATTACGTGACTACAGGGATGCTGCAACGGTTGTAAGTGTGAAAAACGGTCATGTCCCTTTTTTTCAGAGCCATTGAAACTCCAAATGGTCACTAAATGAACTATTGTAAGTCAAGCACTACCTGCGTTATGATTTGTTTAAACACTGTCATTATTTAGTTGGAACCTGGCTTTAAGGGATTATACGAGAATTCAATTTGAGAGAATTTTTACTTACAATGCCAAGTTTAGTACTTAAGGCCAATTTTTGTTTTATACTTCCGTTTTAAACCATATTCTCAAAGCCTCCCGATTAGGATCAGGAGTGTATTAAGAAGAGTTAATTATTATTATTATTATTTTTTGGAGTGTCATGGCCTGATTAAAATGCCCAAGCTTCTTAAGCAGTTATTCAACCTGGAAATTAATTAAAACGTACCTTATGGGCAAATCCTCCGAGGGAGAGAAAGAGAGAAAAAAAAACATTTACCCCACCCACTGGATTGGGGAGGGTGATTTTGTTCCCCCTGGCAATTAATTAAAAAGAGAGAACAAGTCTAGAGGCTTGAATACAATTATGAATTTTATGGCGCTTTGTATTATTGTTCTTGTTGTTGTTGTTATTTAATCTTTAGTGAGATTCACAGCCTTTGGGGCTGGTTGATAGCTCAACAGCTCGAGTCCTAACCAAGGACCTAGGAACTGTTCAGGTAGCGTCGGAGGATATAAGCTGTTCCAAGTAGGGTGATTTTTTGTAGAATCAGGATTATTATTATTATTATTATTATTATTATTATTATTATTATTATTATCTCTATCTATCCATCTATCCATCTATCTATCTATCTATCTATCTATCTATCTATCTATGTTTTCTTATGTTTTCGTGGGTATTTATATGTATGATATTCAGCTTTGTTCGGGTATTTATAGTTGTGCTTTTAAAGTTGTAGCGACGTTTTGACAGAATCTCATCTATCTATATATCTATATCTATATCTATATCTATATCTATCTATATCTATCTATCTATCTATCTATCTATCTATCTATCTATCTATAGAAGCCTGATGATGGCAGATGAGATTCGGCCGAAACGTTGCTACAACTTTAAAAGCACAACTATAATGACGTGGGAAAATACCCGAACAAAGCTGAATACCATATATATATATATGGTGTTTCCGTGCAAGGAAATGTGCAAGGAAGCATGCATAAGTGCACCAATGATCCTACCGTCACTGTCCTAATGTTCCTTTTTATTCGTATCCATTTCATGTTTATACTGATAGATGATAGATAGATAGATAGATAGATAGATAGATAGAT